CATCAACCCACCCCCGATTTATCCCAAACTGATTTCATCTCATCTCTTTCTCTCTCTCCATCCATCCATCCTCTTCCTCTCTCCTCATTTTCCACCAACAGCTACCGTGGAGAAGCGCCGTTGGGATCGAGTCGTCGCAACCACAACCGCAACGATTTGGCCACATGCTGGTGAGTTCGCTGCAGACCCACCACCCCAATGCCCCGACGACGACTATGCACCAATTCCCGTGTTGATGAACGGGAGGAGCATCGCCTAGCTTCATCGTTGCAGCGGCGAGCTGGTGCTGGCATTGTCGTCGCTGCTTGCTTCACTATTAGGGCTGGGGTGGAATATAATATTCAATTTTTAATTTTTGAAAATATTTTGTGATGATTCAGAAAAGAATCTGAACTCTGTTGGGACTCTATTGCCTCTGAACTCCAGAAGCGGAGCTCTGACCCTACCTTAACTCTATTGTTCAGGTCGTTAGAGTTGAAGATGAAGAAAATGGAAGAGGAGAGAGAAGGGAGCTTGAGGAACGTGAAGAATAGTGATGAAAACTCAGATCTAGAAAAGAAGGTTCAGGTCGTCCATGTTTACGGTGACGATGACTGAGATTGGTGTGGTGGGACGACGGTAGTGGTGGTGACGACGGTAGTGGTGAGGATTACCGTAGTGGCAGTGGCGTTATTCAGGTTAATGCCAAAGCTCAAATTCCACAAAATTTTCATATTCAAACTTAATTTTAAATCAATTGATTTTTAAGGAAAATGATGAAGATTGATTTTAGTGGCCTCGTGGCCTCATCCCCGCTTTGTGGCAACAGGGATGAATTGTGCAATGAAATTTCGACCAAATATGTGTTTACTGTGACTGTTTGTGACGGAATGTGACTGTTTGTGACCGATTGTGCCCTTTTGTGATCGATCATGACTGTGAATTGTGACTGATTGTGCCCTTTTATGACCGATTGTGACTTGTGAATTGTGACTCGTGGTGACCAATTGTGATAAAAAAAATTCTGGAAAAATTTGGAGGTTGGCCTCTGGAACGGGCGTTGGGTGATCGTCGGAATAGCCGTGTCACCGGAGCGGCCACCGGAGTAATAATCGGAAAGTCGTCGGAGCGTCGCCGGAGATGGAGAGAAGGTGGTGTAGCGAGATGATGGGGGTGGGTGAGGTGTCATGGGGTGTAAATAATTAATATATATTATATTATAATTTAATATTTAATAAATCTATTTACCACCTGATTTTTGAAATAATTAGACAAATTTGTTAGTTTTGAAAAGTAATTCTTATATGTAGGTTTTGTGTATTGTTCCCATTGAAATACCCAACCCGGCGACCACAAACAGGCAAAAAAACCCTTCTTCATTCTCCACTTCTTCTACTCAGTTGCTGTTGTCGACTTGTCGTTGTCGCCGCCACCGTCCACCGATGCCGACCGGACTGTGTAACTGTAAGCAACCGTAACCCTAAGAAACCCTTATGATTACATTACCAAGGAAAGATGATTCGTTGGTTGGAATTGGTTATGAAGATAAATGATAATCTATACACTGGAATTGGCAAATGCATAAGCATTCTCAGTTATTTCTAGTTAGTGAAGCACTTTTTGTGTCTTTTTCCTTTACATTTTCATATATTTTTGGATTATTCTTCGTTATTTCTTACGAAGTTTATTTGCTTTATGCTTTTGAGTTCTGATGTATTGACTTTAATTCCAATTTGTGCTCCTATTCACCTACGAATACTTAAATATAAATAATTTAGCATATACCGTTCTCAATACTTCATCAATTTGTTAATTTAGTAAAGTGCTTTTTAATGTCTCGATTATCTTCAAAATATGACTCTGATTTCAATGGGAAGGTAACTTTTAACTTTTCAAAGTACAAGACCCCGTATAATGTAGTTGTCTAAATTCAGATTTATATAGTAAGGTTGTATCGTGTATTTGTTTAGTACTTTGAGTTGTATTGAATTATATTTTTATGTTTTGGTACATTTACATAAAAATTGAAGAATTTTTAATATTATTTAATTAAATATTAATAAATAAATTCATTATTATGATATTTGATTGTCAACAGTTAAATGCCAGTGGTCAACAATCCGTCCTATAGTCAACGGTCTACCCTAGCTGACGTTGGACCTTGGATTCGCCCCTGCCTAAGATCCTTTTTTGCAGGTGATGCTTTTGGATACATGTACCGTGATATTAGTCAAATACCAAAAATGGATGTGCAAAGTGTGAATATTGATTAACTCTGATAAGAATACTGATTGAAAATAATTATGAGACAACAAAATATTACGCATTTCCCTGATTTTGAGGAGAATAATTACTTTTTATTTCAATGTAAATAGATACTTCGATATCGTGATCTTCCTTTCAATTAGAAAACAAAAAAGGAAATACTACACAGCATCATAGGCAACATCTTTGTTAGTTACAAGATTGCAACTTGTATCCAAAAAAAAAATGTACACTTGCACTAGCAAGTTATCTTTATGCCACGTGTTGTCCTAGAACTAGTGATATTTTTAAAAATAAAAATAAAAATAAAAAATAAATTGAATATTGTGCTAAATTTTTTAAATTTGACAGTGCCTCATATTTTTGCTTCTTGTTTTTGTGCAATGTCTGGAACTAGAAATATCATTTATTTTTCGCAGTTTGCTTCTTCTTTGAGTGCTTCATGAAGTTTCAATATAATGAGTAAAATTAATAATGAAATTTTTGGGATGAAATAGGAGCAAAAAACTGCTAAAAACGCGAACATAAACTCATTACAACTTGGATCTCTTCAAGTCTACTATCAATTCTCAAATTAAATTCAAACTTAAATTTTAAAATAGACTTCAATTAAAATTATCAACTAGACGTCAAATAAAATTCTCATGTAGTCTTCTAAATAGAATTCGGGTCACACCCTAATTCTAATAGTTTGTGGGTTATTTTCTTCCTATATAAACGAAAAAAGGGGCTGTCACAACAATTCCAACGTATGATATCGTAGTTGGTAAGAAAGAGAGATGCAACTCATCAAACACGAGTACCATATCAGATGCTGATGGGAACTCAATAAGAATTGTAAGGAAGAAGGACCAAACTGAAAGATATGGCCTTTTACATATCGTAAAAGCACTTGGTTGAATTGAAAGGAATCCATGAACTGCATTGCATATGGCTGTAAAAAGGTCAGGATACTTCTGTAGTAGAGGAAGGAATATATAGTTGAAACAGTGTTACATGTCGATTTGGTTACATAATTGTCATGTTATATTTAGAAAATTTGAGCACATCTTTTGATTAACCATTTGCAAAGAATTATGCTCATAAGATTTTGATGTGTCTACATATTTAACCAAAAAAAATAAAACAACAACTATTGTACTCATCCTCATAAAAATTCGAAAAAAAATATTTAAATAAAAAAATAAAAATATTTTCAATCCACATCAATAATTTTTATTTTTATTTCCTATATTTCGATCTTAATTTTTTTATTATTTTTTATTTACTTTTGTAGAGAGAAAAAAATATTGTAAAATTAACCAAATTTAAAATGTATATATTATTTGATTATACATTAACATACAATCGTTCTATTTTTATTGAATAATCCAGTTTTATGGAATAAAATGTCACGAAACAATTTTTCAAAATTTCAAACTAAACCCGTTTTCCAATTTTCTATTTTGAGAAATAATTTTTCAAGATGACAAACCACGTGTGTTTTTAGCAATCTTAAAAGTTAAAACAAATCTTCAAAACAGAAAACTAAAAACTGTAATATATACCAAATGTCCTGAATTTTTAGGGAATTTATAGTTAAAAAGTATAAAAAATTTAGATTTACAAAATGTGTGATTGAAAATAAGTTTACAAAAAAGATAGTTTGAACAAACGATGGCTCACTATCAAGTTAATGTTGTCATTACACCTACTTTTTGATTAAGAGTCAAAATATTAATTAAAAGGAGTTTGACAATTTGGTTGGACCCACATTATCAAGTTAATTAGCACTGATTACCAAATTGCACTAGTCTCTATCACACTCAAAATGTTGAGGCACCTCTGGCCAATTAAATTAAAATATTATAAAAAATAGCAATTTTTTGCAACCATGCACCGACCTTGTATATTAATCTAGTTAGTATCCTCTTGGAGGGAATGGATGTCAATGATTTATGAAAAAATCTCTAGTCATTCAAATCAAACTTTATTTTTCAAATTTAGTCATTTAAATTTTAATGTGTGAACTTTTTCCGTAAAAATTTAATTTTAAGAAGTAGCTTAAAAGTACACTTAGCCCCCGTTTGGTGCACATTTTGAAGGTAAGAATGCATTTTTACTGTTGATGTGATATAAATTATATAGTTGAAAAAAAAGGAAAAGTTATTAATGTGATTAAAAATATTATTTTATTAAAAAATGTGTGATTGAAAATAAATAAAAGAATGAGAATGAAAAAAATCATGTGGACCAAACAGGACCTTAACTTTAAAGTATAATTAAACTTACCGTGAGAAGACATTTGAAGAGAATGTTTGCGAAGTTTACAAGTAGCTTTTTCGAGACTTGCCGTCAAAAATTTTATCACATTTTTAGACACAGAGTCAAAAGTTTTATTATTTACTATTTTTTAAAAAATTACAAATTGCAATTATTATTTTTTTCTTTCTTTTTTGGTTGCCGTTTGGGGCTGTTCTAAAAGGATATTCATGCAACCTAAGCATTATCATTACAGCACACACCAACAAAAAAAAACACCCACCATATAAATACTCCAAATATTAAAAAAATCGGAGGAGAAATTGCGAAACCCTAATTATAGTGAATAATGGAAGCTGATGTTCCTATTTCTCAGTGTTAAAACCTCTGTAATCATAGTTGAAAGTGTATTTTTATTTTTGGGGGTTGTGGATTTTGAAGATCTTGCGAAGTTGATATAAGATCGGGTAAAGATGGTGACTTTCGGGGTGTTTTTGTTGTTTTGTTGCTGTTTAATGGGTGCTTTTACGGCGTTTGGAAACGTAGTTTTGATTGGGAATAATGTTACCTTGTCTTTTGAAGACATTGAAGCTAATTTCGGTGAGTTGAATCTTTTATTTATTTATTTATTTGGGGCAACTGATTGTTTGATATGATTTATAAAGAATATTGAATCTGGGTCATGGGTTTGTTTAAATTGTTTGAGTAATTCGAGCTGCATGGTTTGTGTTGTCTTACTTTCTTGGCTATGATTGGTGAAAATATGGATATCTCGGACTCGAATTATGATTTTTTTCCCATTGTTGATTTTAAATTCTGCTGGGAATTGTGGAATCTGTAATAGAGTTGATTGAGTTGCACGGGTCGATTTACTGCTTTAGATAATGTCTTTTTGCAGTTGAAATATGGTGAAGTAATTGGTCTATTGCCCGTTTTTTAAGAAAGAAAGATGGTTTAAAGAATACTATTTGAGATTAACAAAGTAAATTTTGGTTCCTTTACTTTTTCATGCCAATGTAATATTCTATTTCAATGAAACATATCTGTAATTGCAAGTTTCGCAGTTAGTAGGGTATGGCCAGGATATTCTTCTAGATAAATAAACCCATTCCTAGTTCGTTTTCCCATTCCTAGGAATCTCCACTTGGTAAAGACCATGAACTAGTTTGTTAAAAATTTGAACTCGATTCGTGTATTAGTGTGTGTGAGTTTTTTCTAGTGTCTCTTATTTTACTCGTTCTACGCTTACTGATATTACGCCTGAATTTCAGCTCCATCGGTGAAAGGTTCCGGGATATCTGGCACATTGCATGTGGCGGAACCTTTGGATGCATGCTCGCCATTGACTAATAAAATCGATTCAGTAAAGAATGATACCAAGTCTCCATTTGTGTTGATAATTAGAGGCGGATGTAGCTTTGATGATAAAGTCAGAAGCGCACAAGCTGCACGATTCAAAGCGGCCATTGTCTATGACAGTGAAAATGGTGATTTAGTTGCAAGTAATGACTATTCATCCCTGCATCTGCTTATATTATTTTATGAATTTGGTGTTTTGTCAATAAAAGTTTTAGGCATCGCATTTTTCTGCAATATTAAAACATGTGATCCACAAGTTCAGAACACAAGATTAACATGATTTTCCCAATGTACTATTAAATGAATTAGTTTTATATTTTCTTTCCCTCATCTTGTGGTATTTCTTCATAATTTTGGCAGATTATTGATGCCCATTGAACAATAGCTCATAAGTGAAAATGCAGTGTGTATTATGGGTATTGTGTTTTAGGTTTTCCTGAAATGTAAGCTCATAAGCACCATCTTATATTCTGGATTACCATATATCTCTGACCGCTCATTATCATCTCCAAATGATGCAACTCCAGGATTGTTTACTTGGTAGCACCAAAATAATTCTCTCTTTGTGCTAAAAAATAAACGTTCCTTATGATTTGCAAGTTAAAATGATGGTTACTTAGTTTGCAATATTCCCGATTGGCAGCGTTCTTGCCCTCAAAATTCTCTACTTTGTTTTATGGAGTTAGTGGGATTATGGAATAAGAGATTGAACTAAGATCGAATCTAAGATTTTGACTTTTCAGTTAGTAAGGATGGGAGAGGCAGTATAGGATTACAAAGATGTTTCCTGGAACATTGGTACTTGAGCCCTGGCCATGTCAAGATTATATTTAGCCCCGTTTGAGCCCCATTTCTGGAAGAATACGTGTTTTGAAATAGTGATTTTTTTTTCTTAAGAATGTGCGATTAGAAGATAAGGAAAAGTTTCCGGTTTATGTGTAAACTTATTTTATGGGACAAATTGTGGTTGAAAATGAGTTTTGAAAAAAATGAGTTTTTGAAAAAATGGGGGCCAAACATAGGCTTAGTGCTCAAAATGTATATCTGTAAAAAATTGAGAGTCGGGTCCTCCTGCTCTTCGCAGAATTTTGACCATAAGATAACATTTTTCCATTTGAGTATTGACACATCAGATTGTATAAAAGTACAGAAGTTAATTGAAGTGGAAAATATTATGAAGTCACAAGTTGGCCACTTAGGTGTTTTTGTTGCCATAGTCATCATCATTTATCAGTCAATCCAAAATGTAAAATAGGAAGACACAAAAATAATTGTTGAAGGTTGTAGAAGGTTCTCTCACCTCCTCTTCGCTTCTGCTTCTTGGTTAAAAAATGAAGGTAGCTATGAAAGTTGATTTGCTTTATTTTTTATGGCTAATGAGTTTTTGCTGTGTGAAAATTCAGTGGCAGGAAATGCTGCTGGTATAAAAATACGTGCTGTGTTTGTTTCCAAAGCTTCAGGTGAAACCCTGACAAAATATGCTGGTGCTGCTTACGTGGAACTATGGTTAATGCCCAGCCTTGAAAACTCGGCATGGTCAATCATGGCTATATCTTTCATTTCATTACTTGCCATGTCAGCAGTGTTAGCTACCTGTTTCTTTGTCCGGAGGCATCGCATTAGAAGAGAACGGCCGCAAGCTCCACGTGTACGTGAATTCCATGGGATGAGCAGTCGTCTGGTGAAAGCCATGCCGAGCCTAATTTTCACAGCTGTTCTGGAGGATAATTGTACTTCACAGACATGTGCTATATGTCTTGAAGACTATAATGTTGGAGAAAAGCTCCGAATTCTGCCATGCCGCCACAGTAAGTCTTCTGTTACATTTAAGTTGCTTATTTTGCCAAACATGAATTTTAAATTACATTTTTTTACTAAAAGAACTTCCTAAAATTTTAATTTTTAAGCACAAACAACATACTCACAATCTGATGCGTAACTTGTAGTATTTCTTCTGGTGCTGTCAACTTCGTTGGGTATTTGTCTACGCGATTATTAATTTTAATAGGAGTCCTGGGTTAGTTTGGGTTCCCCTCGACCCAGTGCTCAGCAGGACATCAAATGAGATGCAATTTTTCCTGATATTTGTGCAGTAACAAATAGGTGTGTGATGGTTATTGGCAATGTGGGGAATTAGGCAGTGTAGAGTGATTCTTGGCACGCCATAGGCTGGGTGGTTCAACCCAATTTACTTCGCTACCTCAGTTCTAAGAAAACTATATGTTCCTTCTTGACCAACTTTTGGCAGGAAGTAAATATTGTGAAGTCTCTTTTTCTTGATGAATATGCTTCTATATCTTTCAATTATATGTATATATTTGTCTTTATGCAATCTTTCTGGCAAGAAGTAATAAAGATCCTCCTTTCTTCTTTGCATCATAGAAATTATAGATACCAGTACAGGTATAGAACACATACTGTAAGGAAATTTTGGTTGGTTATAAGTTGAGCCTAAATTTTTACGGATGTAATATTTTTCATAGTGGAAAGTATTCGAAAACATATTAGTTATAATTCTACTAGTGATTAACCTTTTCATCTTTCAAAATTACTAATTACTAAAGAGTTGGCTGTCTATTCAATATGTAATAAACTGTACCATTGCTGGGATTATTATCGTGAATTATTCCTTTCGTAACGAAAAAGAGAATTACGTCCTAGTGCAAATTCATGTATACTTTTAGCTAAAATTAAAGTTTCTCGACTTGTATCTGCCATCATTTGTGTTGCACTTCTTTCTTCTTTATTTTTTAATTTCGCTTTGGTAATTTTTCCTTAGATTTTCTGTAGTTGAGTAATTTCATCTCGGAATTTTTACAGAATTTCATGCAACTTGTGTTGATGCTTGGCTAACATCGTGGAGAACATTCTGTCCTGTGTGCAAGCGTGATGCTAGAACTAGTACTGGTGATCCACCGCCATCAGAATCTACACCATTGCTTTCATCTACCCCTGCTTCTTTTCCTTCATCTTCCGTATTATCATCTTTCAGATCATCATTAGCATCATCCCCAGCCATTCAAATAGCTCCAGCATCATTTCAATCCTCTTCAGTTTCTCATCCCCATTCCATCTCTAGCACTCCTTATAACCGCCAGTCTCTTCAGTCGCATCATCAATCTTCACATCTTAGTGTGAGTCAAAGCTCAGTTGACCTTAGGAACTTGTCTTCCCAAAGATCCCGTGCTGCTTATTTAGTTTCACCTCACTCATTAGGGTACCCCTCGTTATCCCCTCTGAATTCCAGATACATGTCACCATATATACCTAGTCCTGGCAATGCTTCATCAAGTTATATTGGGTCATCTAGTCATCAACCTAATCCACTGCATTACAGCGAGTCTACCACAAGCTTTTCACCATTTGCTTCAGCCCAATCTCTTCCCAGTTGCTGATTAAACTTTAGTCAATGTGGCTAGCGATTAGGCTTGAGCTCATCCGATGAATGAAGGAATCACGTGGTCAAATGAAGATATTGAAGGCACAGTCAGATGTCGACCAATGTGGCGCATTGCATATGGCAGATGGTTCGGAAGGTGACAAAATGCGCCCAACTTGTAAATTTCGTAAGGTTTATAGTTTGGATGTTTGAATTTAAGGTTGTTTGCACACTGACAAAGCAATGGGCAATTTGTGCTGTACTAGTTACCTTTTGTTGTCCTTTTGGCGAGTGGTGAGGTTGTAATATTTTCCTTTGATGTATATATTTACAGTTCATAGAGGCATTACACAAACTTGTCAAAATGCTCTCTGCGCTTTTCGTAACTAACTATGCTTCAATCAAGATGAAGATATTTTAGTATCGGGGTTAAAAACACGAGTTGTCACTGGACTCTAAAGTGAAATTTTATGTTGACCCTTGATGCAGTCCCTAGTCTGGTTATATGTGTTACGACTATTAAGATAAACATTTTCGAATAAAAACGTATAAAAAAAGTTCCCATCGAGATTACTTCTCTGTTGTTTAGCTGACTTCTCAAAAGCACTGCACACCAATAATTGCCTCTGATTTGAGTACTCGAGTATCAAAAAGTTTCTGTCTATTAGATGGATTTCAAAACAAACTTTAAATAAATAATTTATTCACGTTTTAAACAAGATGATTCAACACTTTGAACTCTACTGGTCTCTGAGTACACCGTCTACTAGAAGCTCCTCGTCATCGATTGTCAAGTTCGTCATTCTAGATCCCTACTCCTAGTATTCTGATTCTACCGCTTGATCCAATTTCAAAAAGAATCCCAATTTGTCAAACTTTCCATCCTTGGCGGAGAGATCAACCTTGAGAAATGCAAAATGGAGAAATTTAGCAGCATTAGAACAGATGATGAGATTGCCAACGCTCTTTTTAAGTGTATCTTGCTGATGCCTAGGCTGGGGAATTCAATTTCTTCACATAAATCCTTGGTTAAATTCGTCCGTGTTGTTGGGTGTTTTAAAGGAACAATTCTCGCGAAGAACCATGAACACGCTGCTATCTTGAGCAGTCTGCTTTCCAGGTTACTTTGATCGGATCCACATACGGACTTCACAAGATAGCTAAGGTCCGTCTGTCCTGCAATTCAAAGGAAAATTTAACCATAGTTCAGATATTATTTAAAGAACACTAATCTCCTAAACTAATCTCAGGCAACGAATATACATCATTAACTACAGATTCTGATGCTAGCTATTATCATTTTGCATTACAGTATAAGCAGTATATATATATACAGAAGAATATGTTGGTTATCAATTCAATGGTGAACATGTACAAGGCAGGGTTCTACAATCCAAACCTGAAGCCTGCAAAGGATTTCCGCTGCAGCAAGAAAAACAATTCTCAAATCGGCTTGATTATGAAAACTCTCACAAAATCAATTAGTGATAGGGCGGCAGCCAACAATAAACATATTCTTCTTCATCAGCAGTTTGTGGTCCATAGATTTTGTTCGATACACAGCCCTCCATTGCCATATGAAGTTTCATATTTTTAAGTACACCATAAAGTTCCTCAACCCTCGTGTTCAAGGATTTTCCAGCTGAGAATGTGTGGATTTTGTTCTTCACCTCGATCCAACTTTCCCCAGGAATTTTCTTCAAACCCCTTGTCTTTGCTGAGACTCTCACCCTTGCAGAATCCTCCCACCTCTCACCTGCAGCATATAAATTAGAAAGCAACATATAGCTACCCGTCACCTCACAATTAAGACTAAATATCTGAGAAGCAGTCTCTTCAGCGATATCTGTATTTTTATGCATTTTGCAAGAGTTCAGGAGGGCTCCCCAAACGCGAGCATTGGGTTCCATGGGCATGCTTTTCAAAATGTTGCTGGCTTCCTGCAGAAGGCCAGCACGTCCAAAAAGATCAACCATGCAAGCATAGTGTTCAACTTGGGGCTTGATTTGAAAGTCTCTAGCCATCTGATAAAAAATATCACGACCTTCGGTCACAAGCCCTGTGTGACTACATGCAGAAAGAACGGCGACAAAAGTAACCTCGTCCGGCTTAACTCCTGCATTCACCATCTGATAAAAAGTTTTTAGAGCATTATCACCATGTCCATGCATCCCAAATCCTGTGATCATTGTGTTCCATGAGAATATATCCCGCCAATTCATTCCTTCAAATACTAAACATCCTGTCCCCAGGCTGCCACATTTCATGTACATGTTAAGCAGGCCATTTCTCACCAAAATATCACTATTCATCAAAAATCGGATCGCATGGGCATGGGTTTCTCTACCAAGACGCAGCGCTGATAACTCAGCACAAACTGACAACACACAGGCAATTGTGATAGCATTGGCCAATACTGAATCAAACTGCATACGGCGAAACAACTCCAAGGACTCCTCGTGCCGCCCCTTTGCAGCAAATCCGTTGATAACAGCACTCCAACTTACCACATTTGGCCTTCCCATTGAACATATATCTCCATTTTCCAACCGCAAAAACACTGAGAAAGCCTCGTCACACAATCCGGACTCAGCATAGGAAGATATCAATGCGTTCCAGCTCACAATACTCTTCGACTCCAATCCAGCAAGCAAATATTCTGCTTCTTCTACAACACCATTTTTCCCATACATATGTATAAGAGAGTTCCTCACAAACACGTATTTGTCAAAACCACCAGTCATCACATACCCATGAACAATTTCACCTTTCTGAAACCCTTCGAAGCCACTGTCAGCACAGACTGATATAACAACAGCAAGCGATTCAGCAGTAGCATTAACCCCTTTCTGTCTCATCAAAACGTAAAATTTCCACGTCTTATCCTCAAACCCGCACCTAGCAAAACTAGAGAGCATTGAAGTCCATGTCACAGAGTTAGGCTCCATTCCTTCATTCTTCATCCTTGTAAACATCCAAAATGCCTGATCACAATCATAATTACTCGCAAAACCCGAGACCATGGTGTTCCAAGAAACATGAGACCTCACAGGCATTCTATCAAACACTTGACAACTATTCTCCATCAGCCCAATCTTCCCATACATTCCCAACAGTTCATTACAAACATGCAGGACATTTCCAAAACCCATTTCCAAAACATGACAATGAACAATTTTACATAACATAACATCACCCTTCATCGCACAGGCCCTTATAATCAACGGAAAACCAAACCCATCAGGCTGAAAACCAAGTGCACGCATCCGAAGGTACAATTCAAGAGTCTCACTGTATTCAAAAACCGAAATATTAGCACGCAAAATTGAGTTCCAAAATAGTGAATTAGAAAAGCAACCTTCTGGCCCGGTACTGAATACTTTTCGGGCTTCATTCAAAAGACTTATCTTGGAATAAACAGTAATGAGTCGAGCAGATAAGAAAGCGGAGAACAATGAAGCTGTAATTAATAGTTGTGCGTGTATTTGTTTAACTGGTTTCTCGTAACTAAAATCATTCCTACAATTGATGCATTGTTGAAGAAGATGGTCCAAGTAATCGGGATCATTACGCGAGTTTGAGCGAGCTGAATCAGAAGAATAGGGGAATATCAAGATATGGGATTTACACAGGGCGTAAGTCGGCGTGCAAGGGAAGCGGAACTTTGAAAAATGTAGAAGAATTGGTGGCCTGGAAAAGAGACGCCCGTGAAGAAGAACCATGAAGCGTCAAAAGTTTAGCGGGCCTCTGGCGCCAAATCGTTTTAACTTTTGGCTCTTTTGTTTGCTACTAGGGAGTCTAGGGTTGGTTCTTTGGCTAGTGAATCCTGTGGTATCTGAGCTTCAGAGCGACTGGCTAAGTCGAATTGCAACTAATCAAATAGTATAATTTCAAGAACTTAGGCCCAGTTTTATCCACCCAAATTTTTCATGGAAAATGAAAAAGAAATTCATTCTTTCACTTTAGGCATGTTTGATACACTCTTTTTTCTTGGCAATTCATTTTCTTGGTTTTGGCTCACTCGCATCCAATTCCTTGTTTTTTATGAAAATGAATTCCCACCAATTTGGTGGGATTTGGTTTTCCAAGTATTTATTTTTGAAAAAAAAAATTGGCAATGAAAACAAATTCTATGGACAAGTGTAAAAAAAAAAATTCCCTTTAATGGATAATTTCGATGGAAAACAAAATCAAACGAATACCAAAAGATCAAAAATTTCAACACAGGTGGAAAAAATTATATCAATCAAACATAATTAATTGATAATTCACAGGAAAGCAATTGTAGACAATTCAATTCCCTGTATTTCATTTTCTTTCCACCCAAATTTTATTCTTGCAATCTTACAATCAAACGGACCCTTAAGGTTTTAGAGGTGAATTGCTTGAAACTTGAGCATTTGGTGATAAGGTACTGGAGGAGTCCTAGGATGTTATGATAAATGTACTATCAATGTGACTGTTTCTCGACTTGACACTTTTAAATTCCAGGATCGTCTTATTAAATTAAATTCCAAGAAGTCTTTGTTGTGTTTAGAGAAATCTTCTATTGATATATGATATCTGAAATAGCTTATAGTAATTGAGTTGCACGAGAGAATGCGAAAAATGTCAAAAACTTTTATAAGCCCGTCTGGCTCTACCATTTGCAAAATTAAAATCCATTTTTATACCGTTAGTAGGTCTCATGTCTGGTAGGAATGGCAACGGGGTGGGGCGGGGCCTTTCCCCGTTAAAATTTTTTTTTTTTTAGGTTTTGATAATTTATTTTTATTGCTCATATTCATTAGATTTAGACAAATAATTTTAGTTGCTATTTTCTATTCGAACTAATGAAAATTTTCATTTAAAGTATTGAATTCTTAAAAAAAAAAAAATTTAAAGTATTGAATTTTTTTTTTTAACGGGGCGGGCCCGCCCCGTTACTCGTTTATGCGGGTTTTCTCCGCCCCGTTCGGGGCGGGGCCCGCGGGTATCGGGTTTGTTGGGTTTTTTTGCCATCCCTATTGTCTGGCTTGTAGCGTGAAGGAAGTCAACAATTATGGCAATAAACAATCCAATGATCCAATGTTTCATTTAAAAGTGGATGAAAATTGCCACCAAACAGGCGCTAGGTATGCCTGGCCGACTACGTACTGTGAAGTCCCTCTTTCTATCAGTGAAGAGAAGATGATTCAGGTATTTCCAAATCAATCTTTATATGCCTTTGAGGCCAAAAAGTAAAAGTATGAACAACCAGAATTTGATCATTGTTTTAAATAATGAAAAAACAGAGTTTTCTTTAACTTTTCGCTATCTTTTTATTATGCTCAACTGGAATAATTGTTGTCATGGTATGAAAAAGTAGCCGAAGTCATTTTTAAAATTATGTTATGTAAGGATGAGACTCTTCGATTCATGGCAAAATATAATGAATGGATATGTTATATTTCAAGTTTATAAAACAAAAAGCAGAGTTTTTTTAAAAAAAAAATTGTTTGTGTTCTGATCAATCAGAATAAATATGTTTATCAAATGAAAAGAGCAACAGAAATCATGTCTAGAATTACATAATGTATAGAAGAATTATTCAGATTCATGGAAAGATAACGAAATGGATATGTTGAAGTGATTTGTATCTCTATTTTTCCTAGGCTTTGTCTGTCATTCCTGATGTACTAGAATTTGCGCCTCCCACCTTTGAAAATTTGAGGTATACAAGGTTCACATCAGAGAATAAAGACACAGAGATGTGCATGCCTATTAAGGAACTTACACAGTTACTGAAGTATGTAAATGGTGACGTTATACACTTATACTACTCAATGCCTCTGAGATACCGTTGTTGTCTCTTCAGCTTGTTACTTATGTCTCAAAGTCTAAATTTTATGAACCAACCGATAACAAGATTTGAACTTTTAGTACATGTTTGGTAAGCAATATTGGAAATGATTGGATAATATTATTGACCAAATTTTAGTTTTTTTCTTCGTCCGAGTCCAGAGTACCAAACAAGGTCTAATTGTTCATTTGGACTAGTTATTTCGTTTTCATAACTCTTATCAGTTTACAGGATGCAATGAGTTGGAAGACCGAAACTACATGAAAGGATACGAGCTCCAACGCTATATGTGCAAGTGTCATGTCCTACTTACTCGAGAGTTTTCCTTTTGTAGAAAATGTAATTGCCGAACTACCACAGGCATTTCTTCTCGATGAAGGGTGAGACAAAAGCTGGGGAAGTCAATGTCTGGCTCACACTGATAATTCAATTTCTATTTCAGGTATCAGCAGAAAATTAGTCGAAAGAATAAAGTATGTTTTGGGGAGAAAATGGTCAACACTGGATAATTGGTGCCAAAACATGTGTATCGTTTGTCCTCGTTGAAATCAAGTAAAATATGTGCTTAAAACTTGTAAAATTAAATCTCAACAAGTATCTGTTGCTTATTCTTAAAGTTTTGATTTGTTTTTGTCGATATTTGCATATTTTTGAATGCTGCAGTGAATGGTATACAAGTAATGTGCAGTTTTATGAACTAATTTGTAGAACAATTTGTCTGGCTTGAATATACTCGACCTGATATTGCACATGGAGTTGGCGTGGTGAGCAGATTTTTATCTAATGCGGGCAAAGTTCATTAGGAAGCAGTAAAATGGATCATGTAGTATTTTAGAGGGACTTCTACACTATGTTTGGGTTTTCAGGGAGCTCAACCAATTTTGACAAGGTATATTAGATGCAAATATGGAAAGAGGCCTTGATAGCAGAATATCTGCATCTGTGTACTTGTTTACTTATGCAAGGGAGCAGTTTCTTGGCAGTCAAAATTGCAAGATGTATAGCTTTATCTGCTACTGAGGTTGAGTACATAGCTGTTATGAAGCAGGGAAAGAGATTGTGTGAATGAAAAGGTTTCTTGAGAGCTCAATGTGAAGCAAATTGAGTACATACGTCATTTATAAGAGTGCTCTTGAGCTGAACAAGAATTCCACGTATAATTCTTGCACCAAGCACATTGATGTGAGTTATCATTGGATTCGTAGAGCAACTGAGGAAAAACTAATCCCGTTGGAGAAGATTCATACTGACAATAAGATTTGCCGAGAATATGACATTGTAATATTTATTTGGTGATAGTGGATTTTATTGATTTTTCAAATATGATGAAATTTGTGGTTGTCAAGATTGTATTCTTTATCTAGTATGTTGGTTTATCTTGAATTTGGGTATCAAGTCTTGAGAAGATGACATTGTAATATATATTTGGTGATAGTGGATTTTATTGATTTTTCCTTCGTCTTAAAGGGTTCTACTGGGGATGGAAACGGGATGGAGCGGGACTGTCCCTGCCCTATTTACTGCCCCAATTATATTTTTTATTTTTTCACTGTTTAGAGTAATTTTGGAATTGTGCTGATGGGTTTGAGCATAAAAAAGTAGGGCTAAAATATATTTAAACAAATTTTGAATTTATTTTTATTTTTTGGGGTGGGAGGGGGCAGCAAAACCTCGACCCCAAACTGCCTCTGCACCGTGAGACGTGGATTTTTGGATCAAATTGCCCTCCCTAGGTTTTACAACGTCTTGTTGCTTTATTATTCATGTATGTATATTGCTTGCATTGTTGTGCTTATTAATTGGGTAGAGAATTCCTATATTAATTGTACGGCGAAAGGAAAAATTATATCGTTGTGTATTATTATTGGTATCATTGCTTTGTCTAACGGTACCGGTGGATTGCATTTCTGTATATAATTTCCCTCCACAATTTTTGCTAGATACGGGTTTTGTTTATGGTGTGAGCAAATATTTTTAAGAAAAAATTGGTTTTCGCTTCAACCTTTCAAATTTAAGGGCAAGTTTGGCACGATGAACTGGATATGATTGACTTGTCTCAATGAACTCTCGTCGATCGGGTGTTCATAATCCTAGTTAGAATGTTTTGTAGTATTTGATGGTTATCGGATGTTCAATGTCAAGTGGACCATTTCAATACAGTAAAGAATAATTCATTGATTATCTTAGCCTGGGAATAAAAATGCAAGACTTTCATTATTACGACTCTTAGGTACTTTTCGGGTCAGAGAGGACGATGTTTCTTTCATTTTTGACATAACAGAACTCTACTCGGAGGTTGGCTTGCCGTTGAGCTATTAATTCAGTAATAAAGCCCATTGATAGCAAGTGTACTAATCACCAGTGATATAGTAAAGTATTGTTCCATGAGGACTGTGCTATTAAGTATCGAAATAATAATACTAGTTGAATTTGAACTATAAAATCCAGAATTTTTTTAAATCTAATTAAATTAATAATTATGTTAGAATTGGGTTGTGACCCGAATTCTATTTTGGATGTATATTTGAAGTTGGATGTTTGTTTTAGAGAAGTTTTGAAGAAGTAGAAGACTGCATAGAATCACAATCCGAATTTTGTTTTGGAGGTATATTTGAAGTTGGTTGTTTGCTTTGGAGAAGTTTTGAAAAAGTAGAAGACTACAAGGAATCAAAGCAGTGTTTTGGAATCCTATTTCAACTAAAATATTACGTTACTGATTTTACTTTTTGTATTAGGACTTCACTTTATATTAAACTCCGAGTTTAAAAGGAAAACAAGAAATTGGTCATGTTTGTCTAAACTCAAGAAAAAGTAAAAGTGCTCTAAAGTGAATAAATATTATTTTTTTTTATTGATTAAACATTAAAAGACCATACTACTCTCGTAAATTGATCAAATTAAGATCGGAAATGAGATTTTGATCAAGTCACATATTTTTTAATGGAAGTGTGGAGGTTTTTCTATTGCACATTTAGCCATGTTTGGCTGAACTCATTTTTTTTTTTTACTTTTCAACTGCACATTTTACAAAAAAAATCACTATTCAAAACTCAATTTTTTAAAAATAATGATCATTAAACAAGGGCTTATTAGAATGTGTTGGACATAGTTGCTACATTTAAAGATTTGGAATTGAGCTGCACCATCGCCACCATCAGTAGTCCCATGAACTGGCCCGATGCTTGACATGCCAGTTATTGGTCCAGTCTTTTTAGCAGCTCAACTCGGCTGAACAAATCTAGGATTAATTCCTTATTTGATCACTGAACTTTGTGTAAATTTCTTAGGAGGTTACTTAACTTTAAAAGTTTTTCTAGTGATCGACGAAATTACATTTTGTAGAGTTCAGTGGCTAATGAGGAAACTTTTAAAGTTCAATAACTCTCTGAGATCTTTAGGCAAAGTTTAGTGATCGATCAAAGAATTAACATTCAGTGACTAACGAGGAAATGTTTGAAGTTCAATGACTCCCTGAAAAATATTACGCAAAGTTCAGTGACCAATCAAGTAATTAACCCTCATTTTTATTAATTTTTATGTTTTTTTGTCTTTTTCTTTCTTTTTTCTTCTTTGTGTTCCTATCCTACAATTTTATCCTCTCTATCATCATAAAACTTCAAAAAAAGAATAGTCTTTTAAACTACAAAAATTTCCCCATTAACCACTAAACATTAATTCATTGGTTGGTCACTGAATTTTACGTGAAGTTCTCAGTAGGTCATTGACCTTTACCAAATGTTATCCAATCTACCACTCAATAATCGATCAGATTACATTTTTTTTAAAATTCAGTGACTAATGGAGAAATTTTTTAAGTTTAGTGACCATTTGAAAACTTTACATAAAGTTGAATGACAATCAGGGAATTAACCCGGCAAGCCTGTCCAGTTTGGCATGTTTAGGACGTAGGCTCAGAGAATAGGTTAAATAAAAGTAACTTTCACGTTTTCTGGGTTAGCCAAACATTGTCACAATTTGCTCAATTATAAATCGAAAAGACACGTATGAAGTATGAACAGAATATTTTGGTGGGCTATAGCCTGGCAAAGGAAGACTGCCCTCTTCCCAATTAAAACCGTTTCGTTCCTATTGATGAAAATCAGCCTAGATTCAAAATTTTCTTCAGCACCCAACAAAATTCTCAAGATTTTATGGAAAAAAAATTGGTTCGATTATTAAGATTTCTTGTTATTTGCTAAACCCTTTTAGAGTTCTTGATTTTAAGTAATTTCTTGATCAGATAGTTCTGTAACCCTTTCAAAGTTTTCGGTTTCAAGCGATTTCTTGATCAGATTGTTCTATAACCCTTTCGAAGTTCTTGATTTTAATTGCCAGATCAAGAATGGCTGCCCGAAATACCAAGAAAATGAGAGAAACCTCGGATTCCGACCACCTCAGCTGTTTACCAGACAGTATTCTTAGTCATATACTCTCTTTTCTTGACACAAAATCCGCTATTAGAACTTCTGTTTTGTCCAAACGTTATGCACTTGTTTGGACTTTACTGTCAAATCTTGATTTCAAATATTCAGGCATTGATATTCCTGGTTTTACTTCATATGTTAACCATGTTTTGGATCGCAGGGAACATAGCATAGTTACCCGTTTTCGCCTTTCATTGCATAAAAATGTGGATTCCTCATTCGTCGAGAAATGCATTGAGTATGCGGCTGAACACAAGGTGCAGGATTTGAGGGTTCGAGTTTGTACTAAACCTAAGTCTGTTGTATTGCCAGGATTGTTGCTTAATATGTCGTGTTTAAGAATTTTAAGATTGAATAATGGGACTTGTTGGAGTATAGAGTTACCAAAGTCACTTGCATTGCCTAATTTAAAGGTTTTGAGGCTCAAGAATTTTGCGTTTTCGGATAGTAATTACAATGGGGAAATTTTTATGGGGTGTCCGAATCTTGAGACTTTGGTTTTAAACAAGTGTTGGATTAGGCCGGTCGGCGAACTCAAGGTTTTGGAGGTGAATTGCTTGAAACTTAAGAATTTGGAGATAAGGTATTGGAGGAGTCCTTGGAGATGTTTTGATGAATGTATGATCAATGTGACTGCGCCTCGACTTGATACTTTTCGATTACAGGGTCATCTCCTTAAAGTGAATTTCAAGGAGTCTTTGGTGTGTTTAGAAAAGGCCTCTATTGATTTGTTCTATCCGATGTCGTGCGTAATGGTGGATACATGGGAGAGAAAGCAAAAGATGTCAGAAACTTTTATAAGTATGCTTGGCCGACTATGTACGGTGAAGTCTCTCTTCCTATCGACAAAGACGACCGAGGTATTACTGAATCAATCTTTATTTATTTTTGGGGCCTTAAGGAATAATCAAAGCAAAATCAAAGTTTGATAATTTATTTTGATATCATTATTTAAAGATTTGGATTGCATGAACCCTTTTTATTGAAATAAAAGATTTCGGAAAGAGAATTATCAATTGCATTCAAGTTTATATCATGAAAAAACAGAGTTTTCTTCAATTTTTTGCTTTCTGTTTTTTTATGTTCAACTGGAATAGTGTTTATCACATGAAAGAGTAACTGAATTCATATTACAGAATTATGTCATGTATAGAAGAACTATTCGGTTTCACGAAAATTTCGTATGACGTGTGATTTGTATCTCTACTTCTCCTAGGTTTTGTCTGCCGTTTCTGATTTAAGAAAGCGTGCACCGCTTACCTTTGACAATTTGAGGTATATAAGGTTCACAGCAGAGAATAAACACACGGAGAAGTGTATAACTATCAACGAACTTACAGAGTCATTGAAGAGTGCAAAGAATGACTATTTAATACTCCGTGATTCTAAGGTACGGTTGTTGTCTCTTCAGCTTCCTATATATGTCTTTTAGCCTAAACTTAGTAAACCAACCTTATGTCAAGATTTGAACACTTTAGTGCATATTGGTACACAGTATTAGACAGAAATTGAAAATTTAATAAACAAAAATTTAACTTATTTTTCTTCATTAATATTGTTGAGTACTATCCAGTCCTCCCCACCAACCCACCAAACAGGTCATTAAATTTCATCAATCATATATTTTGAGAATTTCAGATTAGTTAAATTCGATGTGCAATATGTTATTTGGCCAAGCAAAAGCTAATAGTTAGCGTAGCATACACGAATTCTCATTAAGGTCATGTTTAGTATGCAAAGCTGGAGAGGATTGGAGAGTACAAATGACCCGATTTACCTTATTTTTGGTCCTTAATAGTGTCTTTTAGTGTACCAAACATGCTTTAATTGTTTATATGGACTTGTTTAATCTGTTTTCATAACTCTATCCATTCATAGGATTCAAAAAGTTGGAAGACCAAACCTAAGCGAAATACAAGCTACGTTGCTATACGTGCAGGTGTTATCTCCTACTTACTCGATAGCTGTCCTTCTGCAGAAAATGTAATTGTTGAACTACCAAAGGTATTTCTTCTCGATTGAAAGGCTAGCCAAAAGCCGAGGAAATCAATTTCGTGACTAACACTGATAATTCTATCTCTTTCAGGTATCAACAGACTAATAAAGAGCACGGTGTATGTTTACCGAGAAAATGGTCAAGACTGGATAAAATATTGGTGATCTTGTTTTCGCCTTTATTTCTTGTCGAGCTAGAAAGAGAACTATCAATATTGTTGCCAAAATATATGCGTCCTTGTCCTTAGAAATTGTTGAAATCGTTAAGTATGTACTTCGTAAAGTTAAAGTTCAACAAATTTCTGTTGTTTGTTCTTAAAGGATTTAATTTGTTTTTGTTGATATTTGAGTATTTTGAATGCTTCAATGGATGGTATACAAGTTCTGTGCAGATTTATTAGCCTAAAGAATCGAAAACGGGAATTTTCATAAGCAAATAATGTATTTGGTTGAAAATTTTTCGCTACATATGGGTTTTGTTTATGCAGTTTGCAGATGGGAAAATTATACGCTTGTTTTAGTCGATCTATAATTTTCGCTTGTTTTAGTAGATCTTTCATTTGCTCAACATTTTTGCCTTAATGTCAGGTTTGGTTTGATGGATTAAATATGAGTGCATAATATTAAGGATTATCGTTGTTCATATGAACTCTAGTTGTGCTCGACGTGATGAGCAAATATGGGCATTGAACCTTGTCGTGCATACAGTGTGCCCTTTGGGCACAACGTGTGTGTCAATGTAGTAGGTGCCCACAATTTTGACACAATTTTGACGGTTGCACTGCAAACTTCAGTGGCATGTTTAGGTCCTGCCAACACGAGCTAATTGCCATATGCAATAGCTGAATGACATTGCCCCCTCCCCCCGATGCTTGGAAATTTGGTTGAAGTTGCTTACAGCCTGTGTTGCAATGGAACCGTCGACTGCTTATGTTATCCAAGTTAGAATGCTTTGTTCTTGGCTCTGCATAACATGTGTACTTGTACATTGTAGCATTGTTGGTCAAGTGGACTATTTCAACCCAGTAAAAGATTGATTCATTGATAATCTTAGCCTGTTAATAAAACTATAAGACTTTCATTAGACTCTTAGGGGCTTAAGGGTCAGGCAGGGATGCGATTTCATGAACCTTAAGCCGTAGGAAGGTCCGATTGACGAGCTATTAGTTCAGGAGCACAGCGCACCCCGAAATTTGAATGGGTATTCATCAATTCCAAGAAATTCTCCGAGCATGTAAGCTATCTTTAAAATCAAAACACTACAGGTCATGAATCCCTCTTCCAACATCAGTTTTATGGACGACAGTCTCTTAACAATGAAAGCTTCCCTCTTTAGGATCATTCAGTTCCAGCACCAAAAAAAAAGAGGGACAACATATATTGATATTTTTGCCGCGGAAGACGGCATGGATTTATCAATAAGTTAATGTACATAATATAGGCATGTCATGCTGTCGAAATAAGGACACACACAATTGGATAGTACCAAACACTCGAAGAGACTAAAATCTTATTTAACATACTATTCAGACCTATCAAGTATTGCATATAAAATATGCACTCGATATTGACATTGCATGTGAGCAATTGACAATGAATGATGAAAAACCAACCACGCTGGTGCCAAAATATACTGCCTGAGTTGATCAATTAACGATTTCAATCCCTGTCAACGAATTTCCTACATGAAGTTGAAGGGCAACATCTCCAACAACCTGTTTAATTCGACAGCCAAGATGTAATTAAAAAATCACTTCAAGAACTTTTCATAATTACATAGAAGTAACATTGGCAATAGTCTAATGTTTAATGCAATTGCTTGAAGTTCATCGAGCAAGCACACACGAAAAAAAAAACCCGAGAGGGAGATGAAAACAAACTCATTCTATATGTTACCAAAAGGGAGAAAGCAAGGTCATTTGCACTAGTCAATTTTACAGATTCCTCTACATTGATCATAAATACATTCTACATGTTACCGTTTTTTACGTCCAAGTAAAAAAAGTTAATTTATTTTGAAACTCACTCCTATGTTACCATCAAAATGAGTAACTTATTTCCAACTTTAACCAATAAAATAATTTTTTTACTTATTTACTCAAAAGTAAACACTTAACCTTAGCCAAGCAATGCCAACTAGGCTCCTCAAGAAATGCTACATAAGCCTTTTAAGTTAGATACCTTTGCCATTTGTCTGTAGGAAAATTCTGTTACTCCTGCAACATGGGGTGTGATTATAACATTTGGAAACTTGAGAATAGCATCTTCCGGATCAAATGGCTCAGTCCATGCAACGTCAATCCCTAATCCTCCCAAGTGGCCGGATTTGAGATGATGAAGAACTGCATCATAGCCTAAGAGACCACCTCGAGCTACATTTATGAGAATAGCACCCTAAGACACAACCAAATAATATGTAAGATTAATACAAAGAAGATTTCAAGGATACTTATGAATCTCTATAACAAAATAACGGAAACCTTTTTCATTGAAGATATGAAGTTCTTATTCACAATGCCAGCCTGGAAGTAAAGAAGTGAAATTAAGCAAATGTAGGACATAAATCATTTACAAGATGAATTTGCAGGGGACACATATAATCACAGAGGAATCTGACCGTTACACTGTTCAACGCCAAGCAACAGACCACTATGTCTGCACGGCTTGCAAACTTTAGAATATCTTCATGACCACCTTTCTCATCGACCAGATCATCATAGGTACCATTTCCAATGTCTGAATATATCTTATTACACGTCAATGTTATTAAACAAAAATGTCATGGGGTCGCAATAGATTCAAATTATCAAGTTTCATACCCTCGACTTCACGTGAGTTCTGCATTGGTAGGGCCCAACTCCTTTTGGTAGCAAGTATTTGCACACCAAATGGACGCAAACGCTTTGCTAAATGAATCCCAATATTTCCAAATCCCATAATAAATACCTACGAAATGAGGAGAATGTTAGAATATGCTAGGTCCACTGGGAGAATAATATGGTCATCAGCAAAATCCAAGAAAAGCAAACCATGCATTAAATCTGATTGAAGTAAAATGTCTATGGGACAATCTTTCAATGACTTTATTTTAGTTCTAGCAACTGATGGAGTGTATCAAAATCACTTTCTCGTCAACCTTGACAGTCCAAACAACAGACTTTCCCTTCAACTATTTTCAAGTTCATTTTATGACCATGAAAAGGCCAAAGCAATGGCAAGGAACTCGGATACAAGGACATATTGTCGAGAAGAAAACCTCATCAGAAGCTCACCGTTTTTCCCAGCAGCGTGTCACCAATTGGCTCTCCGAGAGATTTCTGCTTTACGGCAATTTGCATATCATACTGCATTGACAGAAAAATTTCAAGGAAATTTTACATAGAAATGGCATACACTAGCACTTGTTCACCATATAGTTTTTCTCAAAGAAAATATATTCTTGCCACAAAAAAAAACTACTATTCCACAGGGAATTTCCACACTCCGAAAGAAAACTATATATACAGGATCCACTTCATGTATGAACAAAGTGTCTAACTGGAGCTGTGCACAATTCAAATCCGTTAGATATATAATGAAACAGGAAATAAAAGCACTAATAACAGAGCACTCAAAAATGAAACTGATGTGCAAAAGCAAAGTCTTTCACATATCAATATCAGAGCCAAGGGGAAGAAATCCGGAAAAAGAAAAGCTAACTATTCTTATGAGGGCTCTGCAGAACGGTAAATCATTAGAGAAACTTGGACTGTCTGAGGCAACTTGCTACAAAGCTGAAAAATACAAGTTTAATATTGATAAAACTAAAAAGAGGACAACATGGTAGACAAGAAAATGAATCATGACCGATTGCTTAGAAAATTCAGGTATAACTAGCAACTAAGTAGTCTTAGTTATCAATACTCCTTCGAAGTGCCAGATCTATTTCAATATCTAGTATCTTATTTGTATCTTTCAGAATAATCATGGAATGACTTGTATGGAATTAGTTATAGATTATCACAAAAAACATGTTTTCATCTGCTCATCATTTCAGGACCATGCACAATTGGCACAGAAAGATGTCAACTTCAGTTTCTACACAATAAATTTAAAATATTTTTCTAAACAACTTCAATAATGGAGTTAATATGTAGACTAATTTTGCATTTTAATATTGAAATAGACGAACTTGCTTACGGAGGAGACCCAACATCAGATATATTGTCATTTCAGCACATGAAGTTGCATTGCCTGTCACATCACTTGGGATTCTGGCAACTTTGATTCCATGCTGCGTCGCAGCATTTATATCAACACCTAGAGTAAACAGAACTTGTTAAGATAGATAACATAAACAGTTAAAAAAATGCTTAACACTTCAGATCATTGTGGTTAAGAAAAGATGCCTTCTATGCCAACTCCATACTGCATGATAAGCTTCATCCGTTTTGCACGGGAGATGAGATCTGAATTTAATTGCATATTTTTTATTATGCAAATATCATAATTTCCAATAACATCAGGGATATTATCGAAAGCGACATCGTCAACCTGACAGACAGAATGATGAATGTCAGATAGATGCACAGATTTAGTTCTAAAGAGTGAAATGGATACATCAAAGATGAAAAAAATCATAAGTTGACAATTTTTTATAATAAGCATAGGAAGACTGAAATATATAGATAACACACATTTCAGAAAAAAAAAGTATCGCAGATTGAAAACTGAAGCTGATGGCAGAGTTCTTTTTTTTTTTTTTAAATAATCATTTTGATATTCCTTCTAAATTCTTATAGAAAATGGACGAAATAAAATGAAAAGGATTCCAATTTTGAGTCTTAAATGATGGCATGAAAAACAATTTGAGACTGATCGTAGAAGAATACTTCTAAGGTCATTCTTCCCAACATACACTTTCAGATATTTGATTCATGAAATGTATATCCAGTGAGCACTAAATAAACTAACAAACACAAGGAGATAATGCAATAATATGAAACACCTGTATGAATGGATGGCTTTGCAAATACTCTCTTGTATAGTTATGAGAAGCAGGAAAATAAGGCCCACAGAATAGAATCCGGGTAGTGGGTTCAACAACATCATCATTGCTGACCATTTCTTGAACCTTTCGCAATAATCCTGCAGAAAGCTCATTAAATAGGAATCCCCATTTTGTCTACATTTTAGTAACTGAAACTCACTTCTGTCAGGTTTTGCGTTTCATCTTTAACTAGAGTTCTTACTCTGTTGCAGGTTTTAGCCGTCCACTTAACCAATTATCACACCCCTGCTCTACTTCCAGCATAAAATCCAAGCTATAAGCAACGTGAAGGCAAAGTGTAATTTATCCTAACTTGCCAATAGTTGTGCCAAACAGACTTAAATTTCATCCTTTTCTGTCATATGATTGGACACAAGCCACTTCTGGCAAACTCATGGTTAATATTTAACATTTCCTGTATCTCAGTTCCCCCATTTACTAGTTAATAAATTCAAATGCGCATCTATAATAGTATGCATGTGCACTCCTAATTTACATCCACACCCATACACGTAAAACTGTTCATTTCTACATGTATTTGCTCTTTATTACGCACAAAATTCAAGCCTCGAAATCAAAAAGTTCACAAGTACATCCATATCATTTTTTAGCATGCTTTGCTAAGCCTGAACAAAAAGTAAATTAACCTTTTTCCCAAATATGTCTCAGCATTCTAAGAAAATATTTTCGGGGGATTTTTAGCAAAAAATAAAAACTAAATGCTGCTAAAAATCATGCACTCCAAAAAAATAAGGCTCGCCCATTTTCAATTCAATTTCAGATTTAAGGGTCATCTTTACTCACTAAAATAATTCAAAATTAACCACTAATCCTCGCATTTTCACGAACAGAATATCTACAATCGCATAATCATAATTCTCAACTCTAAGCTTAAAACTATCCAAAAAAAACATTTGACAAAAATTCAGTGCATCTTAATCGAACTATAACAAAAAGAGCAAAGCGAAGAGAATAAAGTTGTTCGAAATGGGGGGGTCAGAGTACCTGGAGAAGAAAAGCAGTGGCGTTGCTGCTGACAATGCGTCGGAACAAGAATATTGTACGATGATGCTTTCCTGATTATACTAAAATGTTTGTGTAATAATGATTTGATGATTGTGGAGAGTGAAAAGGAGGTAGTTTCACGGGACAACATGAGTGAGGAAAGGGGAATTAGGTAGGTTGGCCAACCCTCAATGTTGTTTTTGTCCAAAATGCCTTTTGACTAGATTCAAAAGAAAAGAAAATTTAATTACTTAAAAATGTTAAAATACAACTTTATCCTTCTCTTGTAAAGGAAATTTAAAGAATTTTTTGAAGACCTTCAACCTCTATGGAAAAAAAATGCTCCTCACACCATTAGGACATTGAACAATATTGTTTATTTATTGCAATAACCTATATATAAATCTTGACAAATTATATTTAAATCAACCTTTATAAAAAAGTTTATTAAAATATTTTCCTCACCACTAGGATATTGAACGATATTATTTATTTCATTGCAATAAAATATATATATTTTAAAAAATTACAGTCAAATTTTCAATGTTCGTGTATTTAAACTTTCAACCTCTAAGAAAAATGATACTTCACTCATCATTAAGACATTGAACATTATTGTTTATTTTAATGCAATAACATATATATAACCTTATAGTTCTGAATATCTTGAAAAATTATATTTAAATATTTCACTTTATTTTATATACATATTATGTATTGAAAGATTAATTTTAATAAAGATGAAGAAATGTTTACAAAATTTATGATTTCAAAATATATAAATAATTAATGACAATTAACTTAAAATCATTAAATTTATTTCAAATAATTGTTTTTATATTTTTAAGTAATCATCCACAGGTCTAACCATTAAATTTTTTATTTTTTTCCCTTCATCCCCCCACGTAAACTTTTTACGGCGTGTAAAATATACTTTTTAGATACCTTAAAAAATATAATTGCCATTTTATATACCCTAAAACGATATATATGTCACTTTAATTAAGATTAAAATTGAAACGATATCAATATCGTCAAAATTGTACGGAAATGATAATGACATCGTTATGTGTCAAATTCAGGAAATAACATAACAACTTTCATATCGTTTTAGTACAAATTTGACGAGTTCGAAATTGTTCCAATTCAAATAATAACTAAAA